CCCCCAACTTCCCACTGTGAAAATCTCTGCGGGGCGAAGAGCGGGAGCCAGAAAGACGCCTCCAAGTTCTCGGCCACTGTCCCTGTCAGAAGGACTCACCGTCCCGGTGGGGCTCTCGAATATCCCGATCTTGCCAGCCTCCAACACCCGGTACAGCTCCGCCATGAAGTCCTTCTGGATGGAGTAGGGCGGGAAGGGAAACGGGAAATGGATGCCACCAGCTTCCTGGGTTTTATCAGCCATGGTTCTAGGGGAAACATGAAGAAACGCACTATCTGACGAGCAGTGAAAAGGGACCCAGTGGTCCCCGCACCGGGCTCAGACGTGCCCTAGGGCTGCACACCTCACAGCAAGCAGAGACCATGTTCTCCCAGGGTGCCGCACACACAGCAGAGCCGTGCGTCTCCTCCAGAGCCTGCATCAGGAGTGGCTACAGCAGGAGGAGCCCAAGAAAGCCCCCAACCCTGTCTGCCCACCAGCTCACTGCTGCCTGGATACCTTTCGAAAACCTCTCTGGTAGGGTGGGTGTGGTAGGACCGGCAGGCTGGCGCCGGGGAGTACTTGGCAGCATTCTTCCAGCGGGCCCTCGCAGGCCCTCGCAGGCCCAAGATGCCTCCCCTTCTCTCGTGGGGAAGCCTACGATATCCCGGCACCAGCAGTCACCAGCAAGGCTTGTTCGGAAGGCACGCGTGACATGCACAGGCCCACTTCACAGACACAGCGTTTATCCTCCCTGGCCAGCCAAGAGCTAAAATCATCTTCATTTCCGTTTTTTTTGTCCTGTTCTGAAATTAATTTTCTCTGAGACAGCCTTGCATATCCTCTCCTCCTTTAACTGCCATTTCGGGGGTTGGCTCTTCCACCTTGCTTCTTACATCTTGCTTTTTGGAAGTCATTTCTCTAAGATATTTGATGGGTCTAATTCTTCTCAGTACAAATATTTAAAAGTCCAAAACCCATTCTATTAATATGTCTGATAAAGGGGATATCAGAAAATGGAAAGATGTCCCTTGCTCTTGGTAGGAAGAACCAACACAGTGAAAATGGCCATACTCCCAAAACTTTTACAGATTTAATGCAATCCCAATCAAAACACCCATAGCATACCTCACAGAATGAGAAAATAACCCTAAAATTCATCTGGAGCCAGAAGAGACCTAGAATAGTGAAAGCAATCCTGAGCAAAAAAGGCAATGACAGAGGCATCACAGTCCCTGACTTGAAATTATACTACAGAGCTCTGATAAAAACAAACAAACAAACAAAGTAAAAAAGCATGATTTAGGGGTGGGGGAAGAGAATCAGGGGAAGAGACTACAACATGCAGAAACAACTCCAAATATACTCAGCCACCTTATCTTTAACAAAGGGGCAAAAATCTTAACTGAAAGAAAGACAGCCTCTTCAATACAAGGTGCTGGGAAAACTGGCTTTCCACATGTCCCAGGACTAAAACTAGACCTTTATCTCTCATCCTGTACAAAACTAAAATCAAAATGAATCAAAGCTCTAAATATTAAAACAGAAACACTCAATCTGCTGGAAGCAAGATTAGGTAGAACAGTTAAAGACATAGGTGTAGAGAAAACACTTCATGAACAAAACCCTTATTGAAGAGGAATAAAATATCACCAAAAAAAAAAAAAATCAACAAACGAGGATCTCATCTTATTAAAAAGCTTTTGCACAGCAAAAAAAAAATCACTAAAAGAGACAACCCACAGAATGGGAAAACATTTTGCCAGCTGTTCCTCAGACAAAGAACTAATATCTAAAATATATAAAGAACTCAAAAACAATCACCCTCCAAATTTAAAGACTCAATCCTAAAGTGGGCATCTGAAATAGACACTTCTTAGATGAAGCAGAAATGGCCATAAATATATGAAAAAATATTCAACATCACTGCTATTAGAGAGATGCAAATTAAAATAACACTGAGAATCTATCTCACTCTAGAAAGAATAGCTAGTATCAAGAAATCAAGCCGGGCTTGATCCCGAGTGCTGGGATTACAGGCTGAAGCAGGAGGATCCCTGTGAGTTCGAGACCAGCCTGGGCTACATAGTGAGTTCCAGGTCAGTCTCAACTACATAGTGAGACCTATCTCAAAAAACAAACAACAAAAAAAATCAAGCAATAACTAATGCTGGAGGGGCTGTAAGGAAAAATGAACCTTCTCCACTGTTGGCAGGACTGTAGACTGGTGCAACCACTGTGGAAATCCGTGTGGAGATTCCTCAAAATACTAAAACACAACTACTCCCCTTCTTGGTATCTTCTCGAAAGAATTAAAAGCGTCCTACCACAGTGACCTATGCACACCAATGTTTGTAGAACAGTCTGTAATACCTAAATCTTGCAAACAGCCTAAATGCCCACCAACTGATGCGTGGATAAAGAAGATGTAACTTTTTTAGACCATAGAGAACTCCTCTGCCATAAAGGATAAACGGGAGACATTTCTAGGTAAATGGATGCACCCTGAGACCATACCCTTAGGTGAAATAAAACTGATACACAAGTTCAAATATTGCATGTTTTCTCTGGGTTACAAACTGAAAGTATAAATAAGGACCAAAATGTACGATAGATATTGTGAAATAGGAAGAAAATGTTCAAATGAGAAGGGAACCAGAGAAGGGGAGGGACAAAGGAAGGAACAGAAAAGGAAAAAGAAGGAATAGAAGGAAAAAACGGAAACAAATCTTTTATTAAAAAAAGGAGGGGAAGAGGAGTGAAGAGAGGGAAAGGAAAGGAAAAAAGCAGCACGGTATCTCTTGTACGGGTACAGATAAGACGCAATGAATGCTATCACTATGTATATCTAAAATGTACCAATAAAACTAATCTTAAAAAAGAAATTAAATAATTGCTCACTAGGACAGCGGCTCCATGGTAGAGCACTCAGTTACAAGAAGCTTTGGGGTGGGGGAAGCCTTGGGTAAACTCTGCAGCACTGGGGAGGGAGGAGAGGGAAGAAAGTAAATAACTGCTCAAAGTCACAACTAAGAGGAGGAAAATCAGCCCTTCAAACCAGGTCGATAAGGTTCCACTTTCATCAGTATTATGTCACTGGAAGAGATCTTGTGGGAGTGAAAGTTATTTACTGAAATGACACACGGTGAAAAATTAACCCACACTATGGGAAAATCAGGAACACATGTCATTAGCAGGATGGGGCTTCTTGCAGGTGAGAAGGCTGCCAGCTCCGTCTTCAACACAGCGCCAGGAACCTCACCAGTAAGAAAATACCATGGACGATCCTGGTGCTGTCCAGTCAGACTGGAGACAGAGCCCCGGCCTGACTTCCTCACCCCACTCCTATGTTCTGATTACCCGGATCTTTAGCCCGTACATGGCCTCTTCAATCACCTCTGCCAAATAAAAGTTATGTTCATGTTTCTTAGTACTCGATCCCGAGACAAAAACTGATGAGCACTGCCTCTCTATAAAGGAAGCTCGCTGATCAGCCTACACACCCTCTGACCAGGCACTGAGCCTGACCTAACCAGCCTGGGCCCTGCAACCGCTGGTTCCCCTGCCTGCGAAACGATGACCCAGTATTCAGACCTCAGCTCACCTTCCACCCCGGTCTGGCCACTTGATAGTGCCCGATACACACCACCCGCGTGTGCACACACACACACACACACACACACCGTCTGCACACGCATCCTGCCTCAGGTCTCACCTTTATCACCTCAAGCTGTACTTAATTTCTTCACAGCTCTCAGCACCGTCTGAACCTATTTTATTCACTGTCCTTCCCCACTGGGGGAATATAAGCTACATTAAGGGAGGAATCTTCTCTTGTCTCTCTCTTTTCTGCACAGGTCTCAGAACTAGCACACTACGTAAGGCATTAAATAAGATTCTCATGAATAAGTAGCCAGCCAGGCATGGAGCTGTAGCCAGAGGTTTCTGTTCTTCACAGGTGAGGGCAGAGCGGTGCCACGACTTGAATACCTAGTCCCAGCGTCAGTCCATAATGGCAACAAGCTTGTGTGGTTTGTCTTTCCATCAGCTCTTTACAGGTGAAGAAGCTGAGACTCAGAAGAGCGATTTGCTCACGTTCATGCAGGAGGTGGCTGAGCCCGGGAGCTGAACTGTCTCCATCACTCCCCACGCCCCTACACTTCTAATTTCCTGACTCTTCCTCTCCACCATAAGGAGGGAAAAGGAAAGACTAAGTTATCCAACTTCAGAGTCACAGCACGGGACAATACAGAACAGAAGTAATCATCATTGCCCTTCCCCGTGAAGGTAACTACGGATCTCATTATTCCAGAAGCAGCACAGATCAATCATGGTTAAAGAATAGGGGAGATGAAATCCGACAGCAACAGATGCACTCATCACCGAGGGACATCATCTGTCATCTCAGGCCTCTTCAGAGGTCTCCGTGGGGCACAACAGGACCTCCCGCCCAAGTTCTCGGCGGAACTCTTCACCAGGGCCGAGGCACACGCCCGCATGCTCCAGCGTGGCGATCACTAAACACCTGGTGAAAGCGCTGGGCCCAGATTCCCCAATTTAAAGCCCAACACCTGCGAGCTGTCGCCCAATCCTAAATACCGCGCCAGTTCTCCGAAGGAACCGCCTCCCTGGCCAGCCCCTTCCCCCCATTGGCCTATCGCCCATCCATCAAAAGGCCCCTCCCCTCGCTTCCATAAACGCCCGCCCTCACGCAGCCCCTCAGTTTCACCTGCCCCGGGGTCTGACTTTCCTCTACCCCGTCCTCTCGGCCCTCAGCTCCCCTACGGTGACGCGCTCCGCTCACCTCGTTCCCCCCAGGGAAGGACTGCTGCGCCGGGACCAGGCTGCAGAGAGAACTTGGTGACCGCAGGCTGAATTGAAATCGCGTTGCTGCTTAGCGTCACCTCGGAGTGGCGCAGGCCACGTCGCCACGCCCCTCACCACTGCGCCTGCGCACTTGGAATGTGCCGTCCGCCGGGAGAGGGAGGGCTTGCTTTTGTTGGCGCGGCGGCACTGCGCAAGCGCACTGCTTTCCAGCCTTTGCTTTGCAGTCGCAAATTAGAACCTGTGATCCGAATCTCTGCTCACAATCCTTCGCTTAGTGTCGTCCCCCTGGGACCTTCCCGGCTGTGCCAGGAAGGGTGTTTGATTGACCTTCTGCCCGTGCGCCTTACGTATGAGGCATTCGGCAGTTGTTTGACTTGATCAAGTTGCTAGTAAAGAGTATACTGAGTGCTTCGTGTGTTCGCTCAATATCTGGAACTGGTTACTTGAGTGGTTGTTCTGAAAGCTAAAAATACGGTCCTGTTTTGTAGTTTGTACTGATGTTATCTGTGAATACCAGCAGTTCAAGTTCTTTGCCTCAAATTCGTCTGTTTCTCATCTCTCTCTGGTCCCAGGTCTGCTACCCTGTATGGTGATGGGGGAAAGTCTGATTGGCCTCTAATAATTCAAATAAAGGCGTGGAATATGTAAAACTATACGAGTTTCAAACATTTTGTATAAGGAGGATAATATCTTGATAATTGTAAAATTATATATCAAGATTAATAACGTCAAATCTATTGATTGAATTTGACCCAGCCATCCCTCTTCTGGGTATCTTTCCAAAAGAATTAAAAGAATCATACCAGAGTGATATATGCACATCCATGTTTATAGCAGCACATTTTGTAATAGCTAAAACTTGGAAAGGGCCCATTTGCCCATAAGTTGGAAATTGGACAAAGAAGATGTGGTTTTTCTATAAAATGGAATACTACTCAGCCATAAAGAGAAATTAGATTCATTCATAGGAAAATGGATAATATTGAGGATATACTCCTAAGTGAAATAAATGTCACACATGTGTAAATACCGAATAGTTTCTCTGGTGTGAATAAACTGTAATAGTACATAAGATCCTAATGAGATAACTGACATTGTGAAATGGGAAGAAAAGGGATAAAGGTGTAGGAAACGTGGGAAGGGTAGGGGAAAGGTAATAAGGGAAAAGAAAAAAATATGAGAAAATGAAAAAATGGAAATAAAGTGTCTGTAAATGGGGAGGGGAGGGGGGGTGAAGGGAGGGCAGGGACAAAGGGAAAAAATGAGAATCAAGACTTGTCATGTAAAGGTACAAGATCCCAATGATGAATGTAACTGTACTGTTTACCTAAAATGTACCAATAAACTCAAAAATTAAAAAAAGAAATAGTAAAAAAACTATTGATTGAAATGCATTGTTGATTGGAATATAATATGTAATTAAGATTTTTAGTTGAAGGACTCATGTGACTGTCAATCTGGACTCTACAAGTTGCCTTTACTCTGTGGGCACACACAATCACAATCAAAGACACACACACACACACACACACACACACACAATGAGCACAGCTGCCACCATCACATAAATTATGACCTGCCTTACTGAAGCCATCATCTCTGACTGGGGCTGGTATATTGTTAGAATTGAACTGTCTCCTTAGATGTTATGCTAATCCAGGTACTTGTGTACGTGACCACATTTGAAAATAGTGTCTTTACAGATGGCATTGTGTTATGATGACAGGGCAGGTCAGTGACTAGCAGGCCAGGGGAACTTACACTCCAGTCTCTAGAAAATGCACCAATGCAGCTACCACATCACTGGAAAATTCCAGTCACCTGCAGTTGCCTCAACAGGTGAGTGGGTTAGCGAGCTCCAGGATACAGTACTGGGTTTATTGCGACTTCTCTGTCGAAGGTAATTTAGAGCTAGACTTGCCTCATGGATGCTGATTCCTCCCACATGTGCCGTATGATCTTAAGTAGATGCTTCAGTGGCCTGGGCAGAAATCCACATACAGACCTATTAGATAAGTGCTGAACAGAGGTGTGGCTGATCTTTGACACTGTTTTTTTCCTTAGACCAATTAAGGTGAGAAGCTCAATTAAATATTGTACTGGATGAAGTAGTCACTGGGTTTAAGTTGTGACAGAGAAAATAGAGATGAGAAGGAGAAAAAGAGATATGTTTCTGGATAAGGGTGAATTTATATCAGCAGGTGAATAAGCCAGGGCTTGTGGAGGGTTCTTCAAAGCTGAACAGATAACAAAAACAACAAATAAAGTGCATGAATGTGACAAAACAGTTTTTTACAGTAACAACAAATCGTTAAAAAATCTAGGGATGAATATGACAGAAATTTATTTCATATACATTATTTAGATATCCACAGGACATGTAGCTATGACTCACATATCAATAAAGCATGATTAAACAAAAATTCAGAAAATTTAACATCGACAGACAATCTCACTGTAGCACATTAGTCATACCTTTCGTTACCATATGAATTCACTTTATTACCATTTTTAGTTCACAGATACTTGGTGTAGCACATGACCAGAAAAAAACTAGAATTCTAATGGCCATAGCGGAGAGACTTCTTTAAAAATATTCTCTGGGAAAGTGGAAGGCAAGTGTAAGAGAAGAAATATGCAACCAGTTATCAAATATTGGTATAATTAGTATATTAAATGAATATGTCCTTGAAAAAAACTAATGAAATGGTTAAAAGAAATAAGACATATAGTTATTTAAAGCCAAAAGTTGTCATATTATTCAAACGTTTTGAGAAACTGAAGAGAAGTTGAGTAACAGTCAATTTTTTTTCTCATTGAGTTTATTGGTACATTTTAGGTATACAGTACAGTTACATTCATCATTGGGATCTTGTACCTTTACATGACAGGTCTTGGTTCTCATTTTTTCCTCTTGTCCCTGCCTTCCCTTCACCCCCTCCTCGCCTCCCCATTTACAAACATTTTATTTCCATTTTTTCATTTTCTCCTATTTTTTTTCTTTCCCTTATTACCTTTCTCCTACCCTTCCCACTTTCCCTACACCTTAAGCCCTTGGATACATATGAGGACATACTCCTAGTGAAATAAATAAGTCACATAATGTGTAAATACCAAATAGTTTCTCTGGTGTGAACAAACTATAATAGTACATAAGATCCTAATCAGATAATTGACAATGTGAAATAGGAAGAGTAATAGTCAATTTTAAGCACAAATATTAAAATAAATTCCAGATTTAAAGGGAGTCACAAAAATTCCAGAATATAATTCAGATGAAAAGAGTGATAGTTACAGGTGTGATTGGTTTCAAGACTATTAGAAACACAAGTCAGTCGATCATTCAAATAAATCCCATGATGTAATCTGATATCTGACCACATAAATTGTGAAGAGCTGCCTCTGACTCTGTTTTTAAGATATTCTTTCTGTATGCTTACTCTTCAGATGTGTTTTATGTCTGAATGAATGCACAGAATTTTTCTCTGGCCTTAACAAAATAGTGTAGCATTTAGGAGCGAAGATGCAGCCCAGCAGCCCCGCACTGGAGGCCAAGATGGAGAAGACCTCCACGGCCACCATGACCTTCCCCTTGGTGCTGTGGTACACGGGGAGGAAGGTGACCCACACACTGCAGAACACCAGCATGCTGAAGGTCAGGAACTTGGCTTCATTGAAGGTGTCGGGCAGGTTCCTGGCCAGGAAAGCCACGGTGAAGCTCAGCAGGGCCAGGGAGCCCAGGTATCCCAGGACACAGTAGAAGGCAGCGAGGGAGCCCTTGTTGCACATGATGATGATGTGGCCATGTTCCGAGTGTGCATCTGTGTCGATAAAGGGTGGATTTGTGCCTATCCAGATTCCACAGAGAATGAGTTGGATCAGGGAGCAGATGGGGATGATGGAGTTAGGTGCCCCTGACACCAGCCACTGCCTCATCCTCCTGCCTGGAGCGGTGACCTTAAAGGCCAGCACCACGGTGATCGTTTTGGCCAGGACGGTGGAAACAGCCACAGTGAACACAACTCCAAATGTGGTCTGCCTGAGGATGCAGGTGGCTGCGTTGGGCCGGCCGATGAAGAGCAAGGAGCAGAGGAAACAGAAGGTGAGGGAGATGAGCAGGGTGTAGCTGAGAGCCCTGTTGTTGGCCTTGACAATGGCAGTGTCCCGGTGCCTCACGAAGAGCCCAAGAACAGCAGCTGTGAGGACGGTGAGACTCAGGGCCGAGCCGGCCAGCATCTTCCCCATGGGGTCTCCATAATCCAGAAAAGTGACGGATTTTTGGAGGCAGTGGTTTTGCAGAACTGTGGCATACTGATCATCAGGACACTTCACACACCGCTCCATATCTACTGAGAAAATCAAATTGTCATCAGTTCAAGTTTATTATTTCTTCCTCATTCACTTACCCACTCACAGATGTTCATAGGACTTCCCGAGCCAAACTGCTGTTTTTGCTTTTTTTGGTTTTTGTTTCTGTTTCATCTTTGTTTTTCACTAAATTTTTTTTTCTCCCTATTTAGGCCTGATAATTGAATTCAGGACCATTTTTGTTTTTTTACTGAGTATTTACTTTAAATTAAAAAAATCTAAATACAATCTTCTTAAATCACATTTCCCAGCCTGCATTCAAAATTTTAACCCTTCTGCCTCAGCCTCCCAGACTGCTGGGATTCAAGGTCTACACCATCTGATTTTCTAGACATTAAGAAAAAGAATATTATATTTCTGACATGTGCCAATTCATACTGCCCTTTTCTTTATAGTTTTCTATTTTCTCTTTTTAATTTTAGTTAACTTCTATTTATTTTGTTTTGGTTTTTATTTTACTTTAACTTTATTTTTTTTCTCCTTGAGTTTATTGGTATGTTTTAGGGATACAGTACAGTTACATTTTTCATTCGGATCTTGTACCTTTACATGACAGGTCTTGGTTCTCATTTTTTCCCCATACTCCTGCCCTCCCTTCACCCGCTCCAACGTGCCCTATTTACAAAGACTTTGTTTCCATTTTTTCATTTTCTCATATTTTCTCTTTTCCCTTATTTCCTTCACAAAACAACTGAATATTTGCCAGCCTTTATCAGACCTCCGCGAGTCATACTTTATAGATTCATTCAATGAGCAGCCATTTGAGAAACCCAAACAATTTACTAAGTTCTAAGATATGATGACTCTAGATACTGTCCATTTGGATATGTTCTCCCACCCACGAAAGGTTGTGGCTTTCATGAAAAAAATGTATTGGGATTTGTGTGACCATGGAGGCAAACCGTGGACCCTATTGTAAAATGCTAACATTTTCCCGTTGGTGGCCATTTCCATCCAGCAAAGTGCTTTCACCATCCAATTACTTCAATTTTACTGTTAAAAATTCGTGGCATCTTTCGGAACCCTTATTAGTTTTATGTCTGTAGAGTTGATAGTTTAAGATCAATTAAGTGTTAATCTGTACGATATCGTCTGTGACTAGTTAATGACTGAGCTGTAGGAATAGGTTCTTTTTTACCTTTATTCATGTTCCATCATCACTAAATTCTATTTTTGTTTGTTTGTTTTGTTTTTTGAGACAGGGTCTCACTATGTAGTTGAGGCTGACCTGGAACTCACTTAATAGCCCAGGCTGGTCTCGAACTCACAGCGATCCTCCTGCCTCAGCCTCCCGAGTGCTGGGATGACAGGCGTGCACCACCACGCCTGGCTCCACTAAATTCTATTTTTAATTTACATGGGTTTTATACACTAACATCATAGCTAGATTATCTCAGATCTGTTCTTCTTCCTCATACACGATCTCTTTCACACGTGTCTGTGAGCGTGCTGTGTCTGCACGGACACGGAGCACAATGTCTGGGAGAAGGGCGCCTCAAGAAAAATTCCCCTCTGATGTTTGTTTTCCAAATTTAACCACAAAATGCGTGGTCTACTTTAGGGCTGTATTAGTGTCATTTACGACATGTAAGCAGTTTCTTCCTATTCTCAATTTATTGAAGGTCGTTTTTGTTTATTTGTACATCAAGGAAAGGATTTCAATGTTACTGTATTTTTTCTTCACTCACGGATAGTATTTCTCTTTTCACTAAGTAGGGCACTAAATTATATTTCATAGGCTGAAGTTGCTCATGGATTTCTTTCTTAGAATACAAGTCTCAATTTAGAATGGAACACACCAGTTAAGTCGCCAAGGAAAGTGGAGCATCTAGTAATATCGTCAGCTGAAGGGACCATGATATAGATATTTTCTTTTCAAAGTACTAATTTGTACACATTTGCAGTCTATAATGGTACAGTCACTTTAGGGAATGGCTTCATGTCCAGAGCACATTTTAATTCTTTCTTCCCTCCTCTTCATTCCCTTTTTATTTTGCCAGCATTCGATTTCTTTATTTATCTTATGAATCCTTATATGGTTAATCATCATCCACACAGATCAGTAACAGATTCATAGACCAAGAAATATAAAATATATAAGACAACTGTATTAGATCAAGGAATACTTTTTGATACATTGTCCATGCTGCATTACTATTACTCCATTTCTCTCTGTTTTCCTCTTCATTGTCTTTAATTTTTATTTTTTCACTCGTTTAGTCTTTCACAGAAGAGAAACTATGCGATATTTACGCTGATGTGTCAGACTTCACCCAATGTTATGATCTCCATCGGGATCCCTTTTTCTACAAAGGACCCACGTTTTTCCTTCCTTATGGAAGAGTATCGCTCAATCGTGCACAAATACTGCCTTTTCTGCAGCTCTCCTCATAACATATTGTCCCACTTTCATTTTCTCTGAAGGAGTTCAGTTAAATCGACATTAGCATGCTGTTGAATGTGTCACTATTTCACCAGCGGTACCTCTTTTCGCTTTTGAATCCTCATAGCATTTATTTTTATTGCATTTTATTAGTGCCTATTAATTTTGTGAAAATACTGAGCTTCAGCGTGGTATTTTTCTCCACCTACATAATATATTACCTCTGCCTTATCTTCCCATCCGTCTCCTCACGGGTGTTCCTTTCTCTTCTCTAAGAGCCTTCCTTCCTCTTTCATGCCATTCATTTTGATTTCGCATATCAAGGAGAACGTGTAATACTTGCCTTCACGAGTCTCCCTTATTTCACTGAACACGAGGATCTGCAGTTTATTTATTTTCTTGAAAATGTCCTGATTGCATCTTTCCTTATGAATGAATACTTCAATGTGCATATATACTGGATTTCTTTATGTATTCACCTGTCAATGACCACCTGGGCTGACTCATTATCTGGGCTATTATACATTGCACGTGATGAACACAGGTGTGCAGGTATCTCAGCAGGATGCTAATGCCTTCATGTATATACTGTGGATGATACAACTATCCATATGGCAGACATGACCTTTTTTTTTAACTCTTAATCCACATAAAAATTTGGGGGAAATATTAAACTAAGGACTCATATTTATTAGTAGATAGCATTTTGTCAATGTATTTTATTTTTTCTTACAACCCTTTTGCTAACATTTCCTGAAGTTTGTGAGTTGCAAGGAACTTTTCAAATAGATTGATTTTTAACAATAAACTAAGAGAAATTTCCTGCTTGACTATATAGAAATGGCACATGCTTCAGTTATGGTATTTTTAATATTTATCTTTCTGATATTCATCAAGTGTGTTGATTGTTGGCATTTTTTAAAACCTGAATCAACTTTGGTTCTATTTATTTATTTACTTGGGTTTTAATTTCTTCAGCATTCCTGCTATATTGTTTCCTATCTTGCATTTTTTGGTTCAGCTTACCCTTCTTTACCTAGTTTGTAAAAATATTTCAAATGCTGAAATTCAGCTTTTCATTAATTAAATATGCATAGTAGCACCTACGTGTATATAAGATAAAATATGCACTTGTCACTAAGAATAGCTTTAGCTTCCAACTCACAAAATTTTATGTCATGTATTTAAGTATAGATGCTCATTAATTTGCATTTCAAGGATTGTATAAGAAAAAAATTGTTGAGAATTGCTATTCCTAAACAAGAAGCATAATAAATTGATATTGCTGGGTACATGATTCTCTGTATGTACACATAAAAAATTACATAAAAGTACCACGTCTTTTAATTCTGTAAAGAAAACATACTCAAATTAACTATACGATACATCACCAGTCAAGATATACTTCAAAGCAAATTTAAAATCATACTATAAGCAAGCAGTTTGCAGAATCAAAATACATATTAGCCACAAAAGCAAATTAGAAAATACCCAGTAGAAAGGTGATTCTACCAGGTCAGGATTTATCATCCATTGAAGTGTTTCCAAAGCCATATTCAAGGTAGGTAAAATCCTTCAATATTGGAATTCTGCAACTTTTCTTTTTTTCCCTTACATGCTTTTATTGGTACATTTTAGGTATACAATACCTTGACATTTATCGTTGGTAACTTGTACCTATATATGATGTATCTTGGTTCTTTTTTTTCCACATTCTCCTGCCCTCCCTTCAACTCCTCCACCCCTTCCTATTTACAAAGACTTGTTTTCCATTTCTTCCTTTTCTCATATTTTTTCTTTTCCCTCCTTTCCTTTCCCCTACCCTTCCCACTTCCCCTACCCAAAATATGGATACCATCACTCATTAAATCCCTTAGACTGAATGCATATCATCCTACAGCTCTGTGGCACGAACTACGATTCATGATGTGTGATATGTACCTATATGTGACTTCTAGGATGGCTGGGATACCATCCTAATAACTGATATCATACTGTGCTTTAGGAATGTTGTAAACCAAATACATATCTCTGTCTGAAGGCACACACAAGCTCTCTGAGCACCAGCTTTCTGTAAAATGAGTGCTAGGTCCTGAAAAATACGCTGGAGCTTCATCTCCAGGGCAATCAAAATGAGGTTTCACATCTTGTGAACAGCTGTTGTTTTAGAATGCGCTATGTTAAGCTTCATGGTTAAGATGGAACTCAGAGAAGATAGGGTGGGAGAAAAGCATTCTTAAGAGAAAAGAACACTGGAGCCTGGGATTTAGCTCAGTGGTGCTGCCACCTGCCTCACAAGTGCAAGGTCTTGAGTTTGCTCGCCGGTACAAAACAAAACAAAAAACCCCCACACAAAATGCTTTCAGTGGGTGTAGAAAAACAAATCAGAATAGCTGGGGAGTGTTTTGTATATCTATGCTCCCAACGACTCAGTAACCCGAGATGGCTGGTGAATATTAGCAAGATTTTTCTCAAAATAAAACGAAAAAAGATGGACATAAAGCTCAGGGTGAGGGAAGCTCTTGGTTCCATCTTCACCATTGTCAAAACTAAAACATAACAAGGCTGGGGATTTAATTCAGCAGTTTGGTGGCCTGCCTTGCAAGCGCAAAGACCTGAGTTCAATCCCTGGTACCAAAAAATAAATAAATAAATAATAAAGAAAGAAAGAAAGAAAGAAAGAAAGAAAGAAAGAAAGAAAGAAAGAAAGAAAGAAAGAAAGAAAGAAAGAAAGAAAGAAAATTAAAACATAGCAAATAAAAATGAATCTAGGGGCATGTATAGTAAGAGGGACCGAGAATGTGTCTTTAGAGGATAATAGTACTGAGTGGAAGGAATAAATTTGCGCCTGACAGAAGAAAGACCTTTGGCATCACTGTACTCTGGAAGATGTTTTCCATTTGCTGGATGGATGGGTAAATACAAAATGAACATGGAGACTGCATCCCTCACACACACTCTCCTACCAGTGTCGTTGGTGATCTCGTTCTCTGGGCAACGGGTGCAATCAAAACAACAGGCAGGTCTTCCCTCCTGAGGGGATTTCCTGAATCCAGGATGACAACTCTCACTGCAGACAGAGCGGGGAGTCTGAGGAAAGATCACATGTGGGTGACTCGTTAGAATTTTACCCCTCCTTCAGAGCTTGAGAGAGAAACAATTCATAGATGTACAGAAATAGTATTATATGTATACATGTGTACACATAATATTTAGCAATATAAAAATATATATTTACAAACTATAGTTAAACAAATATGTTCCATACCACTTCATTGGAAAACTAATATGTGAGAAAAATTGATAAAATTGAGATATTTAATTGCCATAGTTTCCACTTTATGAACAAAATTTGGGGTACAAAATCTGCAACATTTTGGAAGCGCATCATGATTTTGTCCAACATACTTGTGTAATTCCTGTGACCCACTCGATCATGTCATCAGACAAAAACAACTGCTGGCCCAGGGGACCATGTGGGGTAAATGTTCCCAATTTGACCTTAAGCCTAAGGCCCTCTGGAAAATTCCAAAAGTTGAGAATGTCGTACTCTACATCCAGTTTCCTGGTGTCATCCAACGTCACTTGGTCTCCAGCAGGACTGTCAAACTGGAGCCTCTTCAGGAAGGTGTGGAGCTAAAAGAGACACATCATCCCGTGGTGAACAGGGCTTCATGATCCAGAAACCAAAAGGAATTAGGGAATGCTTTCAATGATCTTCCATGTTTATTTCATAATGCAAATTTCGCACTCGTATTTAATAAAGCAGAATAAATGAAATCTTTTGGAAGTCAAATGACTGTACTTTTCCTAGAAAGGTCAACCAGTCTTGGGAGAAAAACTTTTACTCAAGTTGATTTAAATAAAGTTTTCGTGAGTATTAGAAAAAATTAGTATTGGAGGTTTTATCGATTTTGTCTCGCCATGTTCCCTCAGCATATACTTGCCAAGCGAAGTTGTTGCGAGCAGTAGATTTTGAAGCATGAAGTGAGGAGATAATATACGTAACATAAAGTTTACTACCATTTACATTCAATAATTACAAGGTCTTATGTTGCCCTTTAAGAAGTTAATGGAAAATTTCGAGATTTTATAATAAATATGTTATCTAGGTGGGCACTGACATCCTTCCCACAAAAGCAAAGCCCTTGTCACATATTATTTTTGGGATGCCAGGGCCCTCTTGCTAAGTGACCATTTCTACCCAGCTCAAGATTTACCTCCTTAATGATAAGCTGGTTGTAGTCACTTGTACTTTTGGATACAGTGCTCTAAACGTCTCTGATAAAGCATACGTGTGATAAGAAAGGTACTTTCATGACATTTCACGCCAATACAAACAGATGATTTACCTGCCACGGGGCAAATTCCATCACTTCTTTGTTTCCCACTGGTGGCCTCTGTGCTTGCTGAAGAAGCATCTCATGGAAGGCATGGGCCACAGCGTACACAGCATTGTACACATTGTGACTCCACTCGGTCATGGCTGGGTCAAAACGGTTCACAGGCAGCCACGCCAGAGAGGCATTGGGTGTACAGTCTTTCAGCGAGCAGTCGGACTCGGAGAACGAGCAGCGGAAATTCTCGAACCAAAACATGGTGAGGTAAAAGTCTTCTGGGTATTTGAAGGGACTGGCTTCTTGGACGAAAGTTTTGAAACCAGCGATTTTCCCACGGTGGTTGGAAAAAATGAGGGTCCCATGGAATGAGCTAAGTATGAAAGTTCTCCCAGTCATGTCAGCGTGCCATTGCGAGTTTGTGACCCAGACATTGCCCGTTAGTAAGTATTGCTCTATGTTGTAGTTTACATCGTTTATAGTATCAGTGTCATAGTAAGTGATGATCACCTTTACCTGCGATGCCTCCTTAGCTAGGATATTATGTTCCTTTGAAAGGGTCACATAGGACACAAGAGAGGTTGAGACCATTTTCACGAAGGCTGCACAGATTTTATTCCTGTCCATCTCTCCTGTCACATCCGAGAGAAACTGGAGACCTTTCTGGCCTTCCATAATGACCAGTCCCACCCAGGTCCATTTGAAATGAAGCACCAAGGAAACCACAGCAAGGGCCAGGGATGTATCCTTAGGGGCCACCTGATAGAGGGAAGGAAACTGTCCACTGTTTCTTAATATGGGATCAAAAGAACCGAACGTTACCTAGAAGGAAAGAAAATTGCAAGGACCATAAGGAACAATGTTGACACCAGGCACAACCTCGAGCCTGGAGAATACTCGCTAATAGCCGAAAGGGGTAAGAGATCTCTATTCAGCTAGTCTTTCTAATTATCTCACTTCCCAATAGCTTCTCAGCAAACAACTGATCACACACAGTTTTTGGAGGGATCCTTTAGGTTTTCTTCTTCCCCTATTTTTATGCTATAGACAAGGAAAGTTTGAGCAAACCACCACATCTCTGTGCACTTACACATTGAAATTACACACTTGTAAAGACGTGCTGTAACTGGGATCTTTCTTCCCCTGTTCGGGCACCTAATAATGTCACCAACAAAGACATGGATTCGTTTTTACCCTGTCTCACTCATCCATGCTCACCTGTGGAAACTTGTAGAGCTCCATCAGGGTTCCAGTTTGAGCAGACATTGCCCACGATGTTCCTGATAGCACCGCTACAGACTTGCTCTCTCTCCCACAGGAGTAATTAGGGATCTCCTTCTGTCCTGTGAGCAACAGGAGGGAATTCTCCAGCATCCTCCAGTGACTGTAAAGGAAATTATGGATCTCATATCCCAGAGATACGTTGGGTAGAAGATGAGGACTCTTGTTGATCTCTTCTATGGCAAATACGAAGGCCAGCATATTCTGGTAGCTGTTGGGCATATGCCTGCAAAGAGAGCACACAGGTCTTTATGGAAAAGACAATCTATGGTTATACTATCATCCCGTACAATAGCCTTTGTGAGCTGAATGCTCATGTTCCTCCCCCACATTGATTTTATACAAACTGAGGCATAAATGAGATGGTATTTGTGGCTTTGTCTTTTGGGCAGTAATTGGGGTCAGATGAGTACTTGATGTGGATTTCTCATGACTAAGATCAGGGCCTCACAAGACTTAAAGACAACTGCTTCCTTGTCCTGCTCTGAGTATGCATTGTCCTGAAGGTCACCGATAAGCTGAAACTCAGATGCCTTTTCATTTTCTGAGCCCCAACAGTTAAATATCGAGAATCACTGTTTTAAAAGCTCAGTTGGAATATATTTTTATATAGCAGGCAGAATTCAGGTAATATCCTAGGATTAAGGAACCGGGATTAATTCCATTTGTGGAGTAACGGGTTCCCCTGCAGTCTTGGATTTCATAGTTAAACCACTCATAATTAAAAAGTTCATATTGTAGCAATGACACCCATGAAAGTGGAAATACCAACAAAGAATGAAAATAATGTTAAATGAAACATCTCTGACACATTAAATGTATTTGTAGATGATTAGGGTGCAGTAAGAGCTCCAGACACGCTCAGCTGTGCCATTTTTCACAGAGAGTAAATCCCTTCACTGGATGAAAGACACTCTCTTTCATAACCTGTGCTGGGAAACGTGACTACACACATGCTAATGGTTGCATCTACACCCCTATCTCTCACCATGTGCTAAACTATAAAGAAACGGATCAAATATCTCAACATTACAAATGTGAAAGAGGAAGAAAAGGGCTAAAGGTGTAGGGGAAGTGGGAAGGGAAATAGGGGAAAGAAAAAATACGAGTCAAGGAAAAATGGAAATAAAGTATTTGTAAATAGGGAAGGGAGGAGGGGGTGAAGGGAGGGCAGGGATGAGGGAAAAAATGAGAACCAAGAGCTGTTGTGTAAAGGTACAAGAGCCCAGTGATGAATGTAACTGTACTGTATACTAAAATGTACCAATAGACTCAATGAGAGAAAAAGAATGAAACAATTTCCTGAAAGACAAAAAAGATAAAACATTTGAAGACATAGGTGTGGTCAACGTCTTCCTGACCAAAACTCCACTTACACAAGAAATATTACTAAGAAGCAACAAATGGGATCACATTAAATTTAGCTCAGTGGTGCCAACACCTGCCTCAAGCATAAGGTCCCAAGTTTGATCCTTGGTACAAAAAAAAAAAATTCCCTGCACTGTAACATAAACCATCAACAAAGTGAAGAGAGAAGCTACAGAAGGACGAAAATTTTTGCCAGCTACTCTTGAATGGGTTAATATAGAGAATAGGTAAAGAACTTCAAAATAAACTCCCAAATTTAAAAGACTCGATCAAAAGGGGCATCTGTGATGAACAGAGCTTTCCAGGTGAAGAAACAGCCAGTAATACACGAAAAAATGATTACCATCACTGGCCACTTGAGAAATGCAGCTGAGAACAGCACGGAGCTTCCATTATATTCCAGGAAAAATGGCCACTATCAAGGGAGCAAACAGTACACATTGTGGCAAGCCTGTAGGGAAAAACGAACACTTCTTCATTGTTGAAAGGAGTGATACTGGTACAAACACTATGGAAATCCGCATGGAGATTTCTCAAATAATTAAAGTAGAAATTTCATTGGACTGAGCTACTCTCTTTCTCAGTATCTTCCAAGAAGAGGTAAAGACATCTTATATCCATGTTTATAGTCACATGATTCATAATCGCTAAAGTTTGGAAACAGCATGTAGGCCCATCAACAGAAGAATAGCTAAAGAAAATGTGGTGTTCATATACAGTGGAGTCTTACTCTGCTGAAACGAAGGATAAATTTGAGTCTTGGAGGAAAATGGATGTGCCATTAGACCACATATTAAGTAAAGTAAATCAGATGCATGAGCTTAAAAATCACCTTCTACTGTGGAAATCAATATGGAGATACCTCAGAGAACTAGGATTAGAGGTTTCATTTGACCCAGCCATCTCTCTGCTGGGTATCTTTGCAAAAGAACTAAAAGAATCATACCACAGTGATATATGTGCACCCATGCTTATAGCAGCCCAGTTCATAATAGGTAAAACTTGGAAACAACTCAATTGCCCATCAGTTGGAGACTGGATAAAGAAGATGTGTTTTTTCTATGAAATGGAATACTACTCAGCCATAAAGAATGATAAACTAGAAACATACATAGCTAATTAGATGCACATTGAGGTTATATTTAAGTGAAATAAATAGGACACACTTGAGTAATTACCGAATAATTTCTCTGGTGTGAAATATTGAAAGTGTAAATAAGGTTCAAATGGTATAATTGGGAGTGTGAAAATGGCTAAGGGGGAAGTGGGAAGGGGAGGGGAAAGGAAATAAGGGAAAAGACAAATGTGAAAAAATGGAAACAAAGTCTTTGTAAATAGGGAAGGGTGAAGGGGGTGAAGGGAGGACAGAGGTATGGGGAAAGACCGAGAACCAAGACCTGTCCTGTAAAGGTACAAGATCCCAATGATGAATGCAACTGTATTGTTTGAATGTACGAATCAACTTAATGAAAAAAAAAATCACATGGTTTCTCTTATGTAAAAACTTCTCTAAATTTAATGTGAAATAAAAGACAGAGAATAGGCAAGAGAGAGAGAGAGAGAGAGAGAGAGAGAGAGAGAGGAGGTAAAGCTGTTGCAATCCAGCATCTCAATAAAAAAATGGAAAATTCAACTGACTGAAGTTCAAAAAACAAAGCTGAAATTATATAAATGTTCTATTGGGCTTCAACAGAGTTGGAACAGAAAGTCTAATGTTTACTGAGTCTGAATGTATTTATCGATGAGGCACTCCTCAAATGTCTGCATGGAAACTGGACATGGGGCACACCTGTAACCATCGCTCAGGATTGAGGGCTGGAGCAGGAGGGCTGCAAGTTCAAGTCCAGCTGGGACCGTTTAACACACGGTGAGGGTCTGTCTCAACATAAAAAAAAAAAATTTAAAACAAGCTATCGATCTAGCTCTGCATGAAGGCTTGGTTTTCAATTCCCACTACTGAAGGAAAAATATGTACTTTTCTAGTAATTTCTTAATTAAAAAGTGAATACAAGAAACACAATTAAAGGGTATTTTCCATAAAACTTGCGTACGCTTCCTGTCAATTGTCAAATTTTTTAGCAAATAGTTATCCTAAATGAGCCATTACAAAAATTAATAGTTTCTAAAAATATCCTCACGTTTCTGCAAGGAGAAAAACAGCGTGCTTATTCAAATGTAGAGAGCATTTGATACTACCAGGCAACTGATGAGAGATACTTGATAGTAATGTTAGTATTTGAATGTAACTGAAACAAAATCTCTGTCCACATTCATCCCTGTGCAGCAGGACAGGAAGTGTTGTGTATTTCACCCTGCTTGGTTCAACTTTTGGGTAATATACATACATATCCCACGTAGCATCGCATCCCAGAAAAATCATACAATTAGCATTTGATAATTGGAGAAGAAACTAAATATAAAACAAAAACAGAAACCCTCTTAATTCAAAACTTGCATCTCACTTAAAATCTCAGTGAGTCACGCTGAGAGCGGTTGGAGGGCAGGTGTACAAGTTCTCCGTCTTTCCACAGAAAACTGCCTGCAACCGCTTCCTGTAGAGCCTGTGCGAAGAAAACTAGCATGAGCCTTCCAACGGATGGGGTATGATCTCCTTTGCCTATTGTGGGGTGAAGCTTCTTTTGTATTATATTCAAGTGTATATTATTACATTCATTTTTTCTGGCTACGGAAAACTTAAGCAGATTAAGGGCCGCACGGATGGGTCCAAGGGAACTCAAAGCATGAGCTTGCAGTGATGTTCTCCAGTGGAGTCACGGACAAGGCTAACGTCCTCCAGCAGCAGTGTGTGATGTCACGCATGAAGCACAGCACGCCGGGAAAGGTTAGCAAGGTCCACGTCCAGAGGGTTTTGCTGGTGTGACAGTGGTGGCTGTGGCCCTTTCTGAGAGGCTCGGTCACGTAGACCTTTGGACTAAACATATGGCTGACTGGTGTCTCTCCGGAGCTGGTGCTAAAATCTTTAACCCTCAGTGGTTTGGATATTTTTTCTGTTTTCTTGGTAGTACATCTTTTGGATAAGTATTCCTAAGAAGCTAAGTAGCAAGAGCATTTTGAATGAAATAGACAACAGGGTAATAGTTCTGCGCTATCATCAGAATGACTTGGTGTCATTCAGGAGTTTCTAAGTCGTAAAACAGATACACATTAAAACAGCAAGGAAAAAAGGAATTGGCTGGACAAGCACACATTCATATTTAATAAAGGGTGAAATGGTTCAGCTTACAAAGCCATGAAAAAATGTGATAAACCAAGACTCTCAACAGAAAGCGTGTGAGCCAACTAAAATGTAAATACATTTTCAAAATTTCTAATATACATTTTCAAAATACATTGTCAAAATTTCTAATATAGTCTAGGGGAAATGGGAAGGGTAGGGGAAAGGTAATAAGGGAAAAGGAAAAAAATGAGAAAATGAAAAAAGTGGAAATAAAGTATTTATAAATAGGGAAGGGAGGAGTGGGTGAAGGGAAGGCAGGGACAAGGGGAAAAAATGAGAACCAAGACCTGTCATGTAGAGGTACAAGATCCCAATGATGAATGTAACTGTACTGTATCCCTAAATACACCAATAAACTCAATGAGAAAAAAAAAAAAAACACTTTCCTTGCAAGAGTAAGGACCCAAGTTCAATCCCTGGTACCAAAAATACAAAACAAAGCAAAGCAAAGCAAAACAAAACAAAATTTGGTGAAAAAATATATATCAACAGTTTAAAGACTTGACGAAGTGGGAATAAAATATTCAAATGGAAAACGGGAAGCTAGTGAGGGGAGGATAAAGGAAGGGAGGGAAAAGAAACAAGAAAGGAAAGAAAGGGAAAAAAGGTTCGTGAATGAGAAAGGAAAAGGAGGTTGAGGGGAGGGAAGGGAGCAGAAAAAGAACAATCACAATACATCATGTATAGATTCAAATTCCCTATGATAATTTTTTTTTTCTCATTGAGTTTATTGGTCCATTTTAGGTCTACAGTGCAGTTACACTCACCATTGGGATCTTGTACCTTTACGTGACCGGTACCGGTTCTCATTTTTTCCCCTTATCCCTGCCCTCCCTTCACCCCCGCCCTGTGATAAATATTGTTATCATTATTTATATCTAAAATGTACCAATTAAATAAATTTTAAAATTTATGATAGAACATTTAGCAAAAACATAACGCCGTAGTAAGCACATAAAAGCATCAAGGAGAATATTTTACACACGTTAACACTCATTCAAAAGTTTGTTTGATATTGGCACGACTCTAATCAACAATAGAAAGAAAAGAGTTTTCTTTTTATGAAAAAAGTAAAGACTTTACATGTAGTATCTTTAGAAGTAATTCAGGGCCAGGGATTTATCTCAGTGGCACCGAGCCTGCCTCATAAGCACAAGGTCCTGATAAAAAAAAAAAAAAAAAAAAAAAAAAAAAAAAAAGATAATTTAGAAAAAAATCAACAACACAACAACACATTTACTGTAATGTTTTAAATGGATTAAAAATGCCACAGAAAAATAGAGATTCACTAATGAAACAAAATAGGAAAAAAGATAAATGAGCTATATATAATTTGTAAATTTACACACACACATATATATATATATATATATTCATGTATACTATTTATACCACAGAGTTCATATTACAAATCACAGATCAATATTAAATCACTTTGTTTATATGGAAAGAGAATTGTGAAAAACATAATGCTCTCTTATAAAACGAATTGAAGGGACACTAATAATTTTTAATTAATATATACATATTTATAAAATTATACTGTGGAATTTATGATAAAGAGAAATGAAAAAGGCAAAATGTAAGTGAATTTTTTGCTGCCTATAATTTCCTGTGTATTTCAGTTTAAAAATGATCTATTCAAAATATTCATAGTGAGCCCAGTTAGTCACTTTAAATATATAGTACATGGTTAAACAACTTATCCTTTATTAAATATGCAAAATAGTGTAATGGCTGATAGTAAGATATATAAATGAAGAACAAGCCATCCAATAAAATGTTCTTTAGGTAATGTACAAATATAATTAACCTAACTTATTAAAAATAATGCATTTATAGCAACATCACATTGTTTGCAAACATGAATTTAGGCTCTGGCTTGAGATAAAGATTAAGAAAATAATATTGCTCCACATGACCGGCTGAAGTGTCCATTATTATGTTTCTAGATGGTTGTTTGACATTAAAAATAAAGATATTTTAAAATATAGATGGCTTTGAGCCCAGCCAATTTCATCCTCCCAATTTTTTTGCTTTCATCAGAGACCGTACAACTGTGTATTTGTACAATGCAATCTGATATCTATCAAACTTTGATTGAATCTATCTATTACCTTCCTTATTATGGAGACAGGAGATAGGAAACCAGTTAGAAATTTAGGAAGTTCTAGTCTGCAATAAGAGCTGAAATTTGCCAGCCTTGCAGGATATATCACGGAGGCAGAAAAATTTTCATGGATCTACTGATGTACATATCATATGTTTGTGTAAGAAAAATGGTCTGCAACAGCATAGAGACAGTGCATCCAACTTGGAATGCAGTTCCTATATATGGGTGCAGAAATGACTAAGATAGATACTATTATGACTATTTTGATTATTATAGCCATGGCATTTCTGAATACATGGGGCATCTGCTCCTGTAAAATATCAAACTTTTTTTTCCAATACAGAGAAAATATATATGTACTTTTTTCAAAAATCTATTTTTCTTTTCCTTTCGATTATAGTAGAAATAATTTTCTCATGTTTCCCTCCGTGCTTGCTCCCAGTGGGAAAGTCACACTGGATAGAAAATGCTGCTGGAATTTCAAGGATGTTCTTTTCAGTCATTGACTGGGTTTAGAGTGTGTGGGAGGGAAATGGGGTGAACAGCAGACTGATTCCTTGAGCTCTGAGTGGAGAACAGGACAACAGTGACAAAGTGGCTGCTTCTCTCTTCCTTGAGAAAGGAGCACTGTCTCTGTCTAGCATCCTTGAACTATTCTTGAAATTTGACGGCACTTGTATCTGATCAGTTAATCATCCTCTGCTATCCTCAGATAATGCCTGATCTCACTGGGCTGAACCAAAGCTGGAATGTTCAGGTTGGTTTCTGGGATCCTTCCCTGTCCTTGAGCTGTCTCTCAGTCGTGTACACCCAGGCACCTCCATCCTCCTCTTCGGCTATAAAATTACCTTGGAATGTGTGCAGCATTCAGAACCTACTGCAGATCCTCCTCCCCAGTGCAAAACCACACTGAAGTGTCCTTGCACCTGTCATTGTGTCCTGATTAAATAATATCTTTCTTGCTATTCTCAACAAATGCAGTGATTATTTTTAAAAACTTTCCAAGAACTTGGCACTAGACTCTCCTGATCCATACCCTCACATTCCAGCCGTTCTGTCATTGAAAAACACACTCCACAAAAACTACCAGAATTAGAGCTCATGAAATAAAAACATCAATAAGGACAACATGATTTTTGTTGTTTTGTTTGTTTTTACATATGCCTTTTACTAAGTTAAGAAAATCCTTCTTCGTTTTAGTTGTGTAAGGGGTTTTAATTGATCCATCCAATACCTTTTCAGTTTAGTTCATATATGATTTTTTAATTATCCTAATATAATGAATTATGGTAGTAATTGTTTTAATATTACACCCATCTCAAATTCCTAGAAAAAAGCTTTTCAATACAATTTACTATGTTCAGTTTGCTAGTCAAAACATCAGTAGTCATACACTTTATTTAATATTACACAGTGCAGCAAAATGAAAAAATAAGCCACTGGACTAATAAATAAATAAAACTATTCTTCACACAAAAAGTTTTGTGTGAATAGAAAATCCAAAGTAAGTAAAAATTAAAAAATGTACATGTCAGTTATGAAAGTCTATCAGGTCTAGATTAACAATCTTTTTGTTAAATGTACCTTTGTATCAGTAACATTTTTTAAAATAAAACTTTAAAACTTTAGACTTACATATAAATTATACAAATTCTATGTGCAAAGATACATAACATCAAAAATATAAAATCCTGAATAATTTCTCTGGTGTGAAAAACTAAAAGTGTAAGTAAGATCAGAATGGTATAATTGACAACGTGAAATAGGAAGAAAATGGCTAAAAGTGTAGGGGATGTGGGAAGGGTAGAGGAAAGGAAATAAGGGACAAGAAAAAATATGAGAAAAGGAAAAAATGGAAACAAAGTTTTTGTAAATAGGGAAGGGGGGGTGAAGGGAGGGCAGGAATAAAGGGAAAAAATGAGAACCAAGACCTGTCATGTAAAGGTACAAGATCCCAATGATGAATGTAACTGTACTGTATACCTAAAAAGTACCAATAAACTCAATGAGGGAAAAAAATAAAATAAAATTCCTGGGAATAAATTTAACTAAAAATGAGCAGACTTCCATGAAAATAAACTAGAACATGTGAAAAACTGAACTGATAAATCTTATTGAGGCAAATTAAAGAAGTTTTAAACAAAAAAATAAGAACAATAGGTAGCATAGTTTGGACAATTCTGTAAAGAAAAGCACACTCTCCATGTATAATATCGCATACCTGTACTGCAGCTGTTCTCTAGGCCTGGGTATAGGGCATGCTTAAACTCAGGATATTACCGATAGCTTAGGCAACATAAAAGGACCCTGTTTCAAAAACCATGCCATTGTAGGGGAAAGCAGCCAGGAATAAAAGGATAAGCAGGCATATGGATGTCATGATAAATATGAGAACGATCCAAACACCATCGCAGAAGGAAGCGGCCAAAAATTTTCACCCCACCATCCCTGCTCCCAGTAAGAGCAGCGCTTGTGGCTTCAGCATCTGCCTAAACTCACTCAGGCACTGTGTCAGTCACACTCCAGCTCCACACAGGGGCACAAAGCACCTGACAGAGTCCTCTGACACTGTGCAAAATCTGTTCATGAATTATGCATTTGGCTGCAGAGATGATGTGATAGTACCCTCCAGGGGACCATGTGAAGAAGGGTCGGTCTGGAGGTGAAAATCTCACATGTGAAGTCTCCCTCAGTCACGCCCTGGCTTGCAGGTCCAGGAGTCGTGGAGGACACACTGCGTGGAGTCACCACATGCACATTAGTGGAGAGTCACTGAGCATCTGCAGCACAAGTCTCCCCTGGCAGGAGGCTTATGAGCAGCAGGGGACAAGATATTTTATGCAGAAATAAAGAAAGTATGAAAGCCCGGTATTGTGTAAAGTGCATAATATTTGTCCCTGAACTCAGCACAACGCCTGGGACTCTGAACCCAGAGAATATCAGTCAGTGTGCTGTGCAGTGGCAGCTGGGTGGGAGCAGGTGACATTTCTCTCCGCTTCCCACCCCGAGCACAGGAGGCGGAGAAAATAGGAATTCATCTTCCCGGGTTCAATAGGTGGAAAAGAGTCTAGAGAAATTTAAAATAATTCCTGGACCACACTTTTCATCTCTGAGTAACAAGGACAGGGTAGAGAATGATGTGGATACAATCACCCACAGAGGTTTAGGCATTACCCTTCCTGACAACCAAAGAGAAAATAAGTGCATGAAAAAAGACACTTACAGCGCCATAATGGACTCCTCCAGAGGTTTTAGTGAAACGATATCTGTATAGTACAAATACAGAAAAAGGGAGAAAAGTCCTCCAATCGCCACATCTCCATCCTTGTACACACTGGTGCTCTTTCTCTGTAGACAGAATTCATTTTCAAAATTATACACCGGGAGAAGATGCTGCAGAAGAATGAGGACCATTATCAAGGTGAACATCTTAGAGAATGTGTGCAAGGATTTGCCTGAGTGAAGGGCCTCGCTGTGTCAGCCGCGTATATATATAT